GATTAATAAAAATATTAACATTCAAAAAAGTTATTGTAAATTTACTAAGGATAGTAATACTGGACTTTGCACTGAGGTCAAAATATTAAGACACACTATTTTGATGATTTCTAACTATCAATAGTCAAGTCGGTACATAGATAAAATAAAATAAAATTCAGTACCTACACTGAAATAAGATCTCTGTACTGAGAATGCTTACTTTTTTTGTTTTGTCAGCCTCTTGTGAAAATAATTTAACAGAAGAAATTAGTTCTAATGAAAATGAGAACAAATAAAGTTGAACTTCTAAGCCAACCATGCTAGAGATTACACACATACCTCTAGTCAACCCACACATCTCAAAATATTTTTATATACTCCAAAAAACGAAGATTCACACTTACAAAGACTTCACAGTTCAAAATTCCTAGGTAAGTGTTTTCAAATGACTATAAATCAAATTTGAATATATAACACATGAAATACATCAAGATATGAAATATGAAGTTTCTTCCTAAATGATAGATTTTTTAAAAAACTGCCATACCTGAGTAAAATAATTGTGTACTTTTCATCTAACTTATCTTCATAATTTATTACATTTTTCCTTTGTTGTTCCATATAAACATTAAGAATAACATCTCAAACATCTAAACTTACAACTGTAGCTATTTTCCCTGACACTAATTAGTAAGAGAAAATTAGCCTAAGCATAGCAGAATCTTTGCCAATCATTTGCTCCCTCTAAAGAAAGGAACAACAATGCTTCTCTCAGTGGTGTTCTAGTAGAACATTAGCTTGGAAGCAGCAAAGGAGAACAGAACTCCTATCAATTAAACCTGAGAACTTTTGTCCCTACAAGGAAGCAATGCCCACTTTCTATCATATCCATCAATACATCCAGGTACATATCTCTACTGTCTTTCTACTACATCCTCAGACTACAGTTTAGTAATTGTATGTTTTTATGTGAGAGCTATACTTTAAATGGACATCCTTTATAGACTGTTAACTATTGAAGTATTCCCACTTACTATACCTCTGTGGCAGGGAGAGATAAAGGGAGATTCAAAATGACAGTCAAAAATTAAAAACTCTCTCATTAGTTTTGGAAGATTTCAGGAAACCAACTCAATTTGAAAAGTTTATACTGCTTTTTCTGTATACATTGTATTACATGGAAACAAAAAGTTGATAAGAGAAAGTTCTTTATAGAAGACCAACTAATAAATGAAAATCATAAAATTAGGATAAGATCATCAATGGCTCCTAAAACCATTAGGTGAAAAGGTGATAGGAGACTTTACAATGGATGGATTAGGCTGACAATACTTGAGCCTAGTGATCTGTCTTAGCACAGAGAGAACCAAACACTATGTGTCATGCGATATGATGGAAAAGAAGGTACAATAATCTATGAAGCATTCCTTCAAAAAATTAAACCCAAGTCTGATCAAGCCTCTCAATTTAACCACCAGCCTATAAGAAACTGGACTCATAAGAAACACTGTGGACAGAAGAACATGTTAAAGGACACCAGAAAGACGCAGTCAAAATCGAAGTTGTGAAAAATTCTATAAGGCAAATAACTTTATCAAATAAAATTATGGGGGGGATAGAGAGAAAAGGAACTATATGTTAAAGGATACTTACGAAATATATTAAATGCAATATTTGGATCTTGTTTAGATCTCAAGCCAACTGTATTAAAAAGAGGTAAATCCCTTTATTGTAAAAATTTTAATATTAATTGGACATTTTATATTAAAGAATTATTAATTTTTTAGGTGTGATTGATAGTGTTGTGGTAATTGTAAAAAAAACACAAATGTGTCACTTTTAGAATGCACACATATGCACACATACATATATTTACAGAAAAAAATTGATATGATACACAGGAATTGCTTCAAAATAATTTGGAAGTATTGGTATAGATAAAATAAAATTGACCACATTTTAACTGTTGAAGCAGGGTGATTGGTGCATAAAAATTCATTATACCACTCTATTTTTATATATGTTTTTAAATGTTCTTTAAAAGTTTGAAAAATTTGAAATATAGAATTGTCCTTGATAGATGGTTAACCTCTGAGGTGTTCTTATTTAGCATACTATTTGAGCTCACCTACCCATGAGGCACTACTGCAAGTACAGAGAGACAGTATAATAAGAGACAAGCACTTTAAAAGTCCCTACAACAAAGCAACTGACAGAGGAAATAGAATTATTAAGTGAAGGCACATAATTTCAAAGATTTACCAATAGCAGTTGACAAACAAGAACATGAATAAGAAAGTGGGGTGTAGTTTATTTTTTTGTGGATTTTTTTTTTTGTAATAATCTCCCATTCCTCCCCCATCTGACCCACGATTGCCAGTATTACTAGAGTAGTAAGTCAAAGTAAAAATATTGTCTTTTTATAGGAATTCCTCCTTTCTATACAATGATTTTATATTTGGCAACTTTTGGTTCCTTTTCTTAGAATGCCTCAAAATCAAAATTATGACAAATGCATTCAGCCACTCCTCAACTTATTTAACTTTTTACTACAATATAATAACAAAAGGCATTAAAGTAAAACAAAACTAAGCACAGAAATAAATGAAAAACAACAGCTTGAGAACTTTCCATGTAATCTTGGATATCAAAGTCAAAATGTCCTTCTATAAAAAATGTAAGTAATAATGGTAAACTATACAACACTTGAAATTGGTATATTGTGCTAGCCCAGGAAATACTGTTCATGTCCTACAAATGAGAAACTATGACAAAGAATTATAGACTTCTTTTAAAACTTAACTGGAAATTTCATACCTAAGAAATTAAGCTATTATAAAAATACAAACCTACTTATATATACATTTATAAGCAATGACTTAAACATTTCTAAATAAAATGTAAAACTATAGTTGCCCTTTATCATTGTTTTAATTTATGTTTTTAAAGAATCTGTTAAAATACTAAAACTCTTTACTAATGTTTTACCATAAATGAGCATTGGATAGGAAACAAAAGAAAGCATTTACAAAAGACATGTATCATATAAAGAAATAAAGAGATATTACTTGTAGAATGAGCCATTCCTTTTTTTTTTATGGAAAAAAAAGAGGCTAGTCATTAATTTAGGTCATGACAGAGGATCAAGTAACATTAGATGGAAAGAATAAAAACCTGTTCCACAGAAATACAATTCTGACCACACGACTTCACTCCCCATGAAAGACATTTAGTTCAAAAAGCAAGAATGAAAAAACTAAAACATACAGAGCAGTTGTAAACCACTTATAAAGCTCACGTTGAGATATGAGTAATTACGGAATAACAATGAATAACAGGTGTTATTCAATGTATTTTTCTGATTTGGGGGACATATTTTGGTGTTTGATATCTCTGAAAACATCCAACTATGAGTTCTCTGATAACCCAGTTCAACCCTACACTATTATACAAATATTCAAATAGAAGCAGCCAATATAAGGGCCAAGCCTTAACACAGAGATGATGAGACCCAACATTGGTCAATATAACGTAGTATCACTACTGCTTTGTCAATTGTTCTGACAGCAACAGGAATCCACATCTATCTGAGAGGCAAAAATTATTTTAAAGGAACATCATGTACTACATCCTTAGAAAAATAACCAGCTAAAACAGCAACTAAGAAAGAAAATCAAATGAATGAAGCACTGGAAAAAAAGAGATCTATCTACTAGACATAAAATAACAGAGCTGAAGTATTCAATACCAGTTTCTCATAAACAAAAGAATAACTGAGACCCAAACATGAAGAGACGCATGATCCTAGATCAAAAAAATCTTTCCTTTTGGTCTCTAGTTCTATATTCTTTTCATTACACAGCATTACCTTCTCTACCAACGAATGATGTCTTAATCAGACCATTACTAGAACAATTTGCATTTGCTGAAAACCCCGGGCAAGCAGGTTAGATGTTAATGTCCCAATCAGCTTGTCCAAAGATCCCATCAGAACTTGAGGTAGAACCACAACCTTCACTTGCCCAAGGTCACATGTTTTCAAGCAAAATCTGAAAGGACCCACATGTTTTGCCTTCTTGAAAAAGAAAAATTCTCCCTAAAATGCAAACACTTAGGTAAATGTGTTCTCTTCACCGACACAAAAGCCTAATTGGGCTGCTGTTTCCCAGAGATTTTGTCCACTGGAATTCCATACTAGACTTCTTGTTTTAAAGCCACAGTATCCTGTATAGTATCATCAATCTAAGACCATAACCTACGAAATTAGTATGTTCTAAGACCCTTTAATAAAGTTACCTTTCTTTCTCAAATGTTAAATATCCTAAAAAACACCCTATTTCTGCTAATCTTCACATCCAGATAAATGAGTGCTAATTGAGAAGCGTAGTAATTATCCAATAAATGTATTTCATTGTTTAAGAATTTATCCCATCTATCTTTTCAATACTTAAAATTTCATTTATACTCTAACACTATCTTCACTCAATCTATACTATACTCTCATTAAATCATAAAGACTTTAAGAGTAAGTTTTGTAATACAAATACATGTAGACATAATACCATACTATACAAAATATATACTCTTCTCTAAAACTATGTAAAATGTTAGTTTTTCTCTATTCTTCCTACTACACATTCAAGTATCCAATCTTTAGAATAACTTGAAGAAACCCAATATAAATTAATCTAATCAAAACCAACTTAAAGGGTCACACCACCAAAGCACCAAATCCTTAATATTAATTACTCCAAGAACAGCTATGAAATAGTTTTTTTTAAAGTGCCATATTATAAATGTGGACTATAACATGAAGTATGTTAATATAATTTCCTAAATTTAAATAACACACAATAGGTTGCTAAAAACAATTAAATGCAACCAAGCAATTACTTCAAACAGCAAAAATGTCACCTCTTTACTGAATGCAAGTTATTCATTTCTGTCAAAATTGTCCTGCAGCAGTCATAAATAAGTGGGAATAGCATATACCTAAAAAAATGTTCTGAGAAACTTACCATCATTTTGGCTCTTGCCCTTCATCTCTTCCTTCCACGATAGGATGGTGTTCAGGGGAACATAGTCCCTTATGTATTCTTTGCGTCTCTCCTCTAAGGTCATCTTCAGTAAACGTTCTTGCAAAATAAAAGCAGAATCTCCATTTGTACTTAACTTTTAAATTCAGCAATTATTTTATAATTTAAATATTAATCATGTAAACAAATCAAAGAATTGGTGAGGGCTTGAGAAACATCAAAATGAAAATCTAATGATTCCGTATTTGATGGTTAAAAAGCGTCAAGTTAACACCATATTACTGTGGCATGTAGGCAGGAAGGGGGAATCAAAGCCTGATGAGGATGGCTCTCTTGTGATAGACCGAGAAATAAGTGAAAACTCCTTCAATTAACATCTACTAACAGTCTACTCCATGCCAGTAATATGTTTATATACTGCAGATACAAAGGTGATCCTTAACCTGGGGTTTAAGACAAAACAGGAATGGATAATATACAAAATAACTACTACATAAATAAAATACAAGATCCTAAGACAAGTACATACAAATGCTAAAAGCAGAAGAAAGGCAGCCACCAAGGTATTTCCTTAATTCTAAAATGCCATCAACAATAAAAGTACACTTTCAATTTAATATCTTCGTAGGAGGTAATTAAACACAACTTTCAATATACATCTTGATAATATTAAAATATTTTTTCAAATGCAACTTAGAATTATTAACAGCTGATGTCACGTATAATGAAGTCACGGTTCTTGGGGTGCCTGGGTGGCTCAGTGAATTGTCCGGCTGTTGATTTCAGCTCAGGTCATGATCTCTTGGTTTATGAGTTTAAGCTCCAAGTCTGGGTCTGTGCTACTAGCACAGAGCCTGCTTAGGATCCTGTTTCCCCCTCTCTCTTTGCCCCTCTGCCGCACCAAAACAAACAAACTTAAAAAAAAAAGTCCCTGTTCTTTACAAGTGCTAGGTACTTCACACATATTCACAGAAGTCATTTTTCCAACAACTCAGCAAAATTGGTACTATTATTTTTTAAGGATTTTTTAAGTTTATTTTTATTTATTTATTTATATATAGAGAGAGCAAGTGTGCGTACACAAGCGATGGGCAGACAGAGAATCCCAAGCAGGCTCCACATGGTCAGCAGTGTGGAGCCTGAGGCAAGGCCTGAACTCACGAACTGCAAGATCACGACATGAGCGGAAATCAAGAGTTGGAGGTTTAACCGATTGAGCGAACCAGGCACCCCGGTATTATTATTATTTTGTTGATAGGAAAATGAAGCACATCAAAGTTCAGCATCTTGTCCAAAGCAAGAAAGCTTTCCATTAAAATACAGTTAGATATCTCCCTTAGTCAAAAACTATAGCCTAAACTATTAGTCACTATAATGCACTACCGTCACAGGAAAAGCTCTTCAAAAAAGGTGATGTGTTTCTATATGCCAACTGCCACGTATCAAATACTTTACCAAAGGTCTACACAGTGTAAAGAGATTGACAGTTCTACTCTCTCCAGCTGTGTCAGCAGATTACAAGATGAATATATTTAAGGACAGTACCTAGTTTTAGGTGTCTAACCCTCATAAAATAATCACTTTAAAAGATTCTTTCACAGAAATCAACTACAGAAGACTTTAATATAAGTCCAAGTGAATAAGAAATGGGGAGCCAACATTTTTCCTGCTCCTAGAACTGGCTTTTCTTCAGCCGCATTAAATGATAATAAGATATTTTAATCAGATGTAATAAAACCAAATCACAACACTACAATACTCAAAGGTCAACACTGTACTGAATGTAAGATGCCTAAAGGGCATTTGAGTTGAAATCAAGAATCTTGAAATCAGGAAAGAGGTTAATCCTAGAGATTTTGGAAATTATGACCTAAAGTTTTGGTCCTAAAGGAAGATAATAGGAAAAGGTAAGAAATGTGACCAAACCTCAAAAAAAAAAAAAAAAAAAAAACCCACATAATCAGAGACTGTACACAAAGAAGAAACTTAAAGTAAATAAAATGAAATAAAACTTAAATGTCACTGGAATTACTAGGTGAATCAAACTGCCAGTGATGTAGAAACCAGCAAAGAGTTTTAATAACTAGAAGGGAAATACTGTCAATTGCTACAGAAAAATCAGGAAGAATAAAAATTAGTAAGCCATTGGTGGAGCCTGGATGGCTCAGTCGGTTAAGCATCCAACTCCTGATTTTGGCTCAGGACATGATCTCATTGTTTGTGGGACTGAGCCCCATATCTGGCTCTGCACTAACAGTGTGGATGCTGCTTGGGATTCTCTCTCCCTCTGTCTCTCTCTCCCTACCCTCCTCAAAATAAACAAACATTTTTTTAAAGTGCTTCCTTTAAGACAGGAACAGAGATGAACGGACAAAGGACATGTAAAGAAACAGACAAATGAGACTACAGGGGAAGATATTACAGCTACATGACATGTATTTTTCCATGAATTAGACGGAAATGTCACACGTTTATGTAAGAGGAGGGAGGGGGTCCTGATGGCAGAGGAAGCTGTAATAAAATGATAAATTTGGAATACTCACACAAAGGAGGAGAAGAGATAACTAGCACTTACCAAATCACTACTAAAAAGTTCAGATCACTAACACAGAAATATTACAATATCAGTGATCAGGTTGAGAGATATTATGAAGCAACTTGTAGTTTTAGTAAATGTCAAAAAGTAACACAGGAAGGCAACCTGGCCTCCGTAATTCCATTTATTTAGCATTTAAGTATGAACACTTAGAACAGAAACAAGATCAATAATAGGACAAAAAAACAATGAGATAATTTATGTTTCAGTACTTGAAATTATAATATGCATTAAGTGGTTTTAAATTATAGCTCCAAATAATAGATCAACATAGTTTATTTAATACATGTGGACTTGAGAAGTCCTTAGTTATTTGTTTAAACAATGAAACATACTGAGGACCACAGACACCTATGCAGTTTCTTTAGCATTACACAAAACTTTTCCTTAATGCATCACCTTTACAATGAATCTCTGCTCTATGAACCAAGCTTATAAATAGGCAGACCTACGATTAGATGGCACACTGAGTAAAAATATGTTTACAGAATATCCTGACATTTCAATGAGGTGGATAAGCTTTTCCTTAGATTTAAATAATAGCTGCAAAAATACAATACCATCCCCACAAGTGAAATGAAATAAAAAAGGTCATGCATCCCATCAGCTTCTTTAATACTGACAACCATACTGGAAGTCCTTAGCTCCTTGTTTTTAAACATTAAATATTCCAAAAATAGACATCCTGATAAACTGAGACATACATTAAAGTCTTCAAATCACAATGTTTTTCCTTTAACATTAAACTTCATGCAAAAATAGGTTAGTTTTAGACAGGAGAAATTTACTTTGTTAGATACCTTCTTTAATTGTGCATTTGCTTTATTTAGAAAATATTAATTTGGTTGTACTTTCCCCTGTTAGAAGCAAAAAAAAAAAATCAAGACATTAAAGATTCTAAAATGCCTGATCTTCAGAGTCCAAATATGTAGGTGTTAAATGAAGGAACCATTATAACATTGTTACTTTAAGAACATTATTATGACAGAAAAATAGTTCCTAAGCAATCATCATTATTTCATCAATGTATTGAAAACAATCTCCATGATTTCCACTATTTTGCCTTATTATCAATAATATAAAACATTCCAAGACCATCAACAAAATGGGCATAGATGATCTTTCAATGATTACAAGGTAAATCACTGTTAAAAGTGTGTTGAAACTAAAGTAACTGCCACTGCAAAAACAAAGATTATTTTACACTAACTTACACATACCAGGCTATTATTTTCAACAGCATTTGTTTTATGACACCAGAATTTTTACTTCTATATAATCCCATGGTCATTAAGATATAATTACATGATATACAACCCAATCTTTCAATAGTTTAAAGACCATTTTACTTGGATTGTTCAATTATGTTAAATCTTCCCAGTAGTTCAATAAAAAAAGAATCCCCTCCTCATCCCTTTCCTTTTGCATTATCTGAAATAGGCCTTAAAGGATTCTTTTTCCACATTCATTCTCTTCTTTAGGTCCACTGTTTGGCCTTAGTGTTTATAAAAGCCAGGACTTGCAATAATATTCTAATAATCTAGCTTAAGAACTATTATCAAGGAAATCAACTTTCAACCTAGTCACTCCATTATCCTTCTAAGAAGAAGATGGGATACTCTGGAGAAATCTGCACTACCCTTACCTGACCTCACCCTGGATACACAGGTTTAATCTATGTTAGTAGTAGCAACGCAGGTACTCTTTGCCACGCTTCTGTAAAAAAGCTAAAGTGTGAAAAGAATGAAAGAAAAAACTCCAGACACTAAAGTTTTATCTCAGAATATTATCTAATTATGATGCCAGAGAAAAAGAGGAGAAGGCGAGAGAAAAAGAGGGTTGCTTCGCATACTTCTGTGTCTTAGAGAAATCAGTGCCACTGTCAATCTAGCTGATTTGGGTAAGCTTTGATACGCACAAAACTCAGGGGCAAGTTCATTCACGGTGAGCGATATCAGCTTCACAGCCTTACTCTGAGCAACTTCTGATTACGAATGGGGATGAAATACACAGAAACACTGCAGAGAAACCCATTCAGACTTCTCTAAAAGCACTCATCCTCACGGATAAGACGCCCGTTTTCAGCTTCCCCTAGAGTTCCAGGTTCCCAAAGTCATACTGCGGCGCAGAAGGAAGGGGCCTAGAAAAGGGATAAACGCCCGAAAGAGACACTGCCAGCTAGGGGGTGGGGGAGCTAGAGGCGACGAGTGAATAGATGAGGGTCAGTGGGCGCAAAGGCGCAGCAGCTGCAGCAGCCGGTGTGCCCGCCGGCGGGCACGTGTGCCTGGGACAACCTGGCCAGGAGTCCAAAAGTCCCAGCTGGGGTCCCGGGAGAGGATGGGGGACGCGATCAAGTTGTGCTGCTCCCGGGGACTGCCGCTCGGGGGTCTCCGCCACCAGCCAGGCGCAGGCAGCCCCGCATGGGGAGAAGGTGACCGGGCGCGGCAGGCAGCAGAGGGGCGTGCGCCCACACGTGTGCGAGCTGCAGGTGCCCGGGGGCGGCGCGTGCACGCCGTTGTGCGCGCGCGTGTGCGCGTGTGTACACACGGACTCGCGAGGGAGGCGGCACCGGGCGGGCGCGAGGCGGGAGCTCGGGCGGAGGGCGCCGCGGCACACACAGCCCTGACCCCCGCCCCCACCCGGCTCCCACCCCCCACACCCCCAGGACTCGACGGGCCAGTTACCTTTCTCCTCTCTCCACACCTTTTTCTTCTTGTTGCTGGGGTACATGTTGCCGTGGGGGTGGCTGGCTTTAAGCTGCAAGTTCCCCAGGCTCACGGGCAAACAGGGTGTGTGTGGAGTGGGAGGGGTGGGAGGGGGCACTCGAGAAGAAAAAAGTGCAAGAGGCTCGGCGTCCCGCGCTGCTCGCCAGTCGCTGCCCTCTTTTCTCAGCCCGCGCTCCGCTTTGGCTCCCACCCGCCTCAGCCCCGCGGACGCCGCCAAAGCAGCACCTCAGCGCCTGTCAACTAGGTCACGCCTCGCGCTAACCTAACACCCGCGCAGGCCCCGCCTCCCAGCCGCTAGCCAGCGACGCCTCCCATTGGCTGCACCGCCCGCCGCTCTCCGCTTTCCAGTCACCGCGCGCCCCTACTTCGGCCCCAGGGCGCACGCGCAGGCGCAGGCTCGGGCCCGACGCCGAGGACGTTGGGGAGCTGGGGGGCGGAGCGAGGGCGCTAGGGGGCTGGAGTTGGCTTCGCGTTTGGGGGGGCGGGGCGTGGAACGGACTCCCGGGAGGAGCGTGAGGCTGCTGGTGCTTCCCCAGGCTTCGCGGCGCTAGGAGGACCTGAGGGCGTGGTCAAAGGGCCAGGTGCGCCAGGTGACTGGCAAACGAGCCGGCAAAAGCAGCCTGCGGGACGGGAATACGTGAAAGTAAGAGCAGACTTGAGTCAGCGCAAATTGTCCGTGTTTACTATAACTGACCAGTGTGGATGGATTTTACCAGATAATCTGAAGCTTTCCTCTTGGTGAGTAAATTAAACAAAAGACGTGAAAGGATTGGGAAATAGTTCCATATCATATACAATCAGCTCGTCAAACTTGTAGTAAAAATTACAGTTTTCACTGAAGTTCTGTGAAGTTTGAAAAGAACAAAGATAAACTGGACTACTCAAGGGTTTTAGGAACTGAAAAATAGTGGGCAACCAACATGTTACATTGGAAACAAAAATCCTATATCAAAGCAAATCAACCAGAGCCAGGACAACTCAAGGCACTGGGTTAAAGGACTAGCTTGATTCTGAGTAATACTTATCTATCGGTGTTCTGAAAATCCAGTTCAGGTAGAGCCCACCAAAAAAGTAGGGTGATCCAGAATTTAGGGGAAGTTTGGCAACCCCTCCCCAAATGCATTACATTTCTAAATATTAGATCATCCACAAGGCTGATTTGGTGGAAGTGGTGAATCCACATTTATTTCTTTTATGTGTTGTACTTAAGCCAGGTGTGTAAGAGCTAATATTTGCAACACTTTTTTTTAATTTTTTAATGTTTTATTTATTTCTAGGAGAGAGAGAGATAGACAGCGTGAGCAGGGGAGGGTCAGAGAGAGAGGGAGTCACAGACTGAAACAGGCTCCAGGCTCTGAGCTGGCAGTCAGCACAGAGCCCGACGCGGGGCTCGAACCCACGAACCGCGAGATCATGACCTAAGTGAAAGTCGGACGCTTAACCGACTAAGCCACCCAGGCGCCCCGCAACACTTTTTAATAATAAAAAAAAGGAAAAAAGAGAAAGGCCCTGTTAAGAATTGTAAAAAAATGAAATGTTTTGAGTAACAGGACACTCATATGATTTCATGACATACTAACGTAATAATTTTTATTTAACTCTCCCTCTGCTTCTCTTTTTCTTTTAATGCTGTGAAATACATAAAAATGTATTTGGCTGGGAGAAATAAGGGAGGCTTCAAGAAGGAAGTGACATCTGGGCTAGTAATAAAAATATGCACTTATTTTTTGGCAATGGAAATAAAAGGAGGTCTCTGATTCAAGACTTTACAAAGATAGAACCAATAGAAACTGGTAATGGAATAGATTTTGGGAACAGAATGAGGAAGAGAAAGAAGATAAGAGGTTCATGGGTTAGTTTAGGAGGAGAATGGCAATGTTGCTAATATTGGGCAATTTAAGAGCAGTTGCAGATATTGTAGGAAATATATTGAGTTCTTATTTAGAAATGCTAAGTGTGAGGTGTTCACTGGAAAGTGCATCATACTGGGCACTATCCCTTTTGTTACAAGAGGGATACTGTTTCCACCCCAACCTAGAGTTCACCTGTGCTTTCTTAGGAACCTAAAACTATGCTACTGATTATTCTTTATTTCATGTCAACTCAAGGAACTAGAACCATACATAGACTTACATCCCACTTTCAGCTTTTCAGTCCTTCTCTTCTAGATTCTATCCTATTAACCAAATGAAACAGCTTTTGTTAAGGTGATCAGTGACCTTCATGTGCTATGTAATGGTCATTTTTCAGTCTTACTAAGATCTCTTGACAGCATAACAATCTTAACCTCTCGTTCCTCCTTGCAGCATCCTTTTTCTTCTATTTTTCTCACCCTTTTGAGATTCCTCCTGTATGGCCATCCCTTCTCAGTTTCCTTTGCTGGCCCATCTTCCTTGCAGCCATTACATTTTGGAGTTCATTAAGACTTAGTCTTTTCCCCTTATCTCTTTTCACTTTGTACTTTTTTTTTTTAAATACCTTCACCCATACTCATGGTTCAGTTATAACAGTAATTTTTCAACCGGGGCAGTTTTGCGCTGTAGGGAAAACTGACAATGTCTGGAGACATTTTTAGTTATTGCAACTGGGAAAAGAATGCTACTGGCATCTAGTGGGCAGAGGTCAAGGATGCTGCTAAGCATCCTAAAGTGCACGGTTCAGCCCCTCCACAGCAAATTATCTGACCCAAAATGTCAACACTGCTGAGATTGGGAATCCCTGAGTTATACCAATGACTCCCAAAATTATTATTTTCAATAAAAATTTCTTCTTGAACTTTAGACCTATACGTGCTACCATATACTGTATCACAACTTTAAGAGGCAGCATTATGCACTGGATAAAAGGTATCTGAAGCCAGACCATCTGGATTCAAATCCTAGGTTTACCGTTATTGACTATGTGACCCTTTGTGAGTTACTGAGAGTCTCTACACCTTGCTTTTTAAAATTACTATATGGAGATGATAATATAGTATCTACCTTGATTAATGTGAGGATTGAATGAGTTAAAACACATAAAGTGACTAGCACCTAGAAAATGTGGCAGAGATGCTCACTAATACAATTTTCTCTCTCTTGGCCCATAGGAAAACTATATTTCCCAACCTCCCCTGAAGTTAGATAGGACATGTAACTGTATGCTGGGTGAGTTATAAAGCAAGAGTGATATATGCCATTTCCAAGCCTAACCATCAAATCTTTTGTACACTTTTCCATATTCTCTCTTTTCTTATCATGGTTATCTCAGAAGCAGCATGTCAGGAAGGAAGGAGCTTGGATCCCTGAGTCACTGCTTGAAGGAGTACCTCAAGGAGCCAAGGGGTAACACATTAAGCTATGACATAAATAAAAAAAACACTTTTATTATGTTATGGCATTGGTATTTAAAGGATACTTGTTTTAGCATTAACTATTCTGATAAAATACCATTATTATTCAAAAGTGTTAAATATTAATATTTAGTGTCTCAAAAGTACCCGAAATATACCATGTACTACACTGAGTTCGTGATCTTTCCTCCACACTTAGACTTCTTCCAGTGTCGCCTCTCCCTTTGAATGGCTTCATCACCCATTCAGTTGAACAATCAGGAAACCTAAACACTATAGCTGATACCTCTTATAACTTCTTTCTCATTTCAAATGAACTGCTATACTTTCTCAATTTTATCTCCTGTATCACTCTTGAATTGCTCACCTTTCTAATGGCAGTGCAGCAGGCTCAGTGTGCATTTAACTGGACTACTACAAAGACTTCCTAAGTGGTCCCCGTGTCTACTCTTGCCCCTCTTATGTCCATTCTATGCCCTACATCTGGAGTTACCTTTTCAAAAGTGCTCTTGTTGTAAATCACTGTTGTAAATTATTCAGTGACTTTCTAGTGGTCTTTGCAGTGGACTTAATTGTATACCCCCAAAATTAATATATTGAAATCTTAGCTGACAGTGTTATTATATGTAGATATAGGGTATTTAGGAGGTAGGTAAGGTTAAATGACATCATAAGCGTGGGATCTTAATCCAGTAGGACTGTGGCCTTATAAGAAGAGGAGGATAATATATATCTCCACTCTTCCTCCTCCTCCTCCTCCTCCTCCTCCCTTCCCCCTATATCTGCCGTGTGAAGACACAGTGAAAAAGTGGCCATCTACAGTATGGGAAGAGAGTCATTGCCATAACCAGGCTATAACAGCATCCTGAACTGTGAGAAAATTAATTTCTGTTGTTTGAGGCACCCAATCTATATATAGCCTTTTACAATGGCAGTCCAAGCTGACTTATATAGTCTTATTATAAAAACTAAATCATTAACAGTAGAGGGTCCATTACCTACCAATTCTACTCTACCCCACCACCCAATCTCTGGTTCCATTCATATCAACTATAGAGTTTTTCAGTTCCTTGAACACATCTTATTCTCAGATTAAAAATCACTCCCTGGCAAAGCATTCCTTGACCCCACCTGACCTCTACCCACAATGTTCTTTTGTATGCCCTCAGTGCTCATGTATTTCCCTATATAGCAATTTTTACACTTTATAATTAGAAATTTACTTGAGTGATTCTTTCATTAATATTTATCTTTCACTCTGGACTTACAAACTCTCTGAGGACAGGAAGTATATCTTTTTGCTCACTACCCACAGAGAATGACACAATGCCAGATACAAAATAGATTCTCAATAAAAATTATTGAATGAGAAAAATGAGCATCCATGCAAGATTGTTGGTAAAACTAAGGAAGAGCACGTGAGACCAAAAGAGGTTACCTTGGGGAGGCCATAATTTTAAAGCAAAGACAGAGAGTAACAGACAAGTGAAATTAATGAATGCCTGAAAAAGAGCAGCATTCCTCCTTAGTATATAGTAGGTATTCAATAAATTAATGAATAGGTGAGGGAATGATAGAATGAGTGAGAAATTGTGTTTAAGAAAGTAGAAGAATATTTGCCATTCAATTTTCAGAGAAACCAATAATATATTTTCAAGAAGATGCTTGTGGTTAGAAATGTCAGATATCTCAAAGATCAAGTAGGATGAGAACTGAAAAAAGATCATTGAATTTATAGTCGACATAAATCAGTGAAAATAAAAACAAGTAGTTGAAGAAGAAATGAGAAGCAATAAGAAGTGATTGTGGACTGTTGTTGTTTTTTAAATGTTTAGAAGCTAAAGAATAGGTAGAAGAGATAGTAGTTGGAAAGATACCAGAGTCAAGGGAGAATTTTTCTAAGAGAAATGAAATGAAAAGTGTTTAAATTAAGAAGATTGGTGACAAAAGATTGAAACAAAAAGGAGAGAAAAGAAGGACAAATGTTAAAATACAGAAATACCAGAAAAAGATAAAGGAAATGTGGATAGAATCTAGAGTAAGAGAAGTCTTGGAGTTAGACTATAGAAAGTGTATTTCATCTTTTGTGATGAATTTGAAAAAGAATGAAGATTCAAAAAATTATGCAATGAAAAGAAGATAGAGGGAAGATAGGTTCAATGAGCTCAATTTCAGTGAAAGTAAGAGGCAAAATCATCTGCTGGAAGTTGCTGATAAATCTGGATCCAAATGGGGAATGCAAAAAATATTTGGAAAATGTTTAACAGATGATATTTAAGAGTTTAAATAAATTATTTGTAGGCACTTTTTAAAAGTACAGAAGTTAGGAAAGTCCCATTTTGAAGTACCTTGGCAAAAGGAAAAGATACTAGGGAATAGACAAAATAATGATCCCAAAGATTTCCAGGACCTAATCCCTGGAACCTATGAATGTTACCTTATTTAGCAGAAGGGACTTTGCAGATGTAATTGAGGATCTTGAGATGGGGACATTATCCAATATTATAATGGTTGGCCCTAAATGTAATCACAAGTGTCCTAATAAGAGAAAGACAGAAAGATTAAAGCATTGGGAAACTAATTAACAAAGGGAATAAACCTGGAAATTCAAGGCAATAAATATGTCTATTTCTGAAGTAATTACCTGTACACACGGTAAAAGTTGGATATATTTTAGGCATAATTTCTTAGTTCCATTCCTTGGATAGTGTTAATATTCCCATGCTTTTACCTTAGTATTCATTTTCGTTTCTGGTTCTAGCCTTGAGGGTATTCCCTCATGAACTGTCCATATTGTTAAAGACAGTAAAGAGGGCATTTTAAAATACCTTTTAAGGAAAGTGTAATGAAGTGCCTTTTTAAAAAAAAATCGATCACTGGAATTTTTTTGCCTTTGTCCCAGTAAAACCGCAGCAGTTCTTTACTCAGAGAGGATAAACATCTTCACCAAGATGGGGACCAAAGCAGACTTGATCCATATGCTTCCTGTGTACCATAACCTTCAGATGTAAAGGATGATGTTAGCTCAGCTCATGTACTTAATTGTGTTTTTATATAAGTGCAGCTTGCATTGCTGAAGGTAACATAAAAATAAACATTTCTAGTGTCTGAACATTATTTGAATGTTATTGTGGACATGTACAAACTGGACTTCCGCTTTATTCCTTTCCTTTCAGAGAGCAACTCTTACCTACTTTAAATATACTTCTTATCTCCCACCAGAAGACTAGCAGACTAGGTATGGTTCCCTCCCCATAGGCTGCTTTCTCCAGTCACTACCTTCATTCTAGTTGAAAGGAACTTCCTGGCAGCTCATTGGCCCAAGAGTAAGGAAATGGTTGCTTAGCAACCAAATCCTGATCCCTGCAAACCTGTAAGGTGGAAGCTTGTGGGCCAGCCACCTAGTTCTGCCTGTGTTATAAGTGAGGAGGAGCTACTTATGAGAAGATGAAGCCCTTGTGCCTCTTAATAGAGATATTGATCATTCTTGGGGTCATAATTAAAAGTAAGTTTTTTTGTCCTTATGGTTGTCTATGAGGGTCTTTTCTCTTTAACAGAAATAAGGGTAGAAGCTGATTAGAAGATCAGAAGTAACCTCACTATACTCCCAATTGGTACCATTTGGGGGTAAGTACTTAAGAATATTCAAAAAGGATAGATATCAACGATACTCTTATTTAGGACAATACTTGCAAGGATGTTTGTATGAGAGAGAGAAAGAGGGAGGGAAAAATAGAAAAGATCGAGAAATCTATGAGGAAAGCATTATAGTAATTTTTATAGAGTAGGGATATTTGAGACAGATTCTTAAATTTTGTTAAATCCAGAATATTATGAAGATTTAGTTTCAGGACTTTAATGGAAAAGTAGAGGACTCAAAGAGTTGTAAAGTGCATTAATTTATATTCTTAACAATCTTTTTAAATCTTTTCACAGTAACAATTGTACTTCCAAAGTTTCCATGATCCCTAACTAGTAACTATCTTAAAGTAACTAGTAATTGGAAATTATTTTCCAATCTTGTTTTTCTGGCCTTTTATTGAATTAATTTTTACTCAATCCTCAAATAATTTACTTTTCCTGAATTCAACCTAAGAAATATTCATTTACATTTAACCCAGGAATGCAAGGTTGGTATAATATCCAAAAATTAACTAATGTAACACACCACATTAATAAAGGACAAAAACCACATACATGGTCATCTCAACTGATGCAGAAAAATCATTTGACAGAATTCAATATCCCTTTCTGATAAAAACACTTATCAAGTTTGAAATAGAAACTTCCTCAACTTAATAATGAAAAGCATCTTCAAAAAATCCACACCTCACCTACGCTTGTGGTAGACAGAGTATAATGTATAAACTTGTCAAATCACTTAGATGAACACCTGAAACTAATGTTAACTGCATGTGAACTATAAAAAAAAAAAAAAACCCACACCTAATGTATTTAAAAACAGAATGCTTTCCCCCTAAAATCAAAAAGAAGACACTCTTGCCATTTCTATTCATTCATCTCAACATTGTATTTGAGGGCCTAGTCAAGGCAATTAGATAAGAGAAAAATAAAAGACATCAAGATAGAAAAGAAGTAAAACTATCTGTAGTTACTAAAGACATAATCTAATGTACAGAAAATCCTAAGGTATCCACTTAAAAACTATTAGAACTAAGAAATGAGTTGAGCATGGTTGCAGAATAAAAGGTTAATATACAAAAGTCAATTCTATTTCTTTACAATCACAATGGACAAACAAAAAAATGAAAATAACAGTTCCATATAGAATAGCATCAAGAAGAACAGAGTTATTAAGAATAAATTTAACAAAAGTACAAAGCTCAGATTCTGAAAGCTATAAATATTGTTGAAATAAATAAGAAAACCCTAATAAACACTTTTCAGGGCACCTAGGTGGCTCTGTCATTTAAGCATCTGACTCTTGATTTCAACTCAGGTCACAATCTTGCAGTTCATGGAATGGAGGCCCGTATGGGGCTCCGCACTGACAGCATGTGGAGCCTGCTTGGGATTCATATTCTGTGTGTGTGTGTGTCTGTGTCTGTGTCTGTGTCTGTGTCTGTGTCTATCTCTCTCTTAAAATATCATAAAACAGAAAGAAAATACTTCTCATGTTCAGAGTTTGGAAATCTTAATATTAAGACAGCAATACTCTCCAAATTGATCTAGAGATTCAATACAAAATCCCAGCTGACTTCTTTGCAGAAATTAAGGAAATTATCTGAAAATTAATACAGAAGTGATTGTTTCTAAACAAAAAAAAATTTGGAGGACTCACACTTCCCAATTTAAACATTTACTACAAATTACAGTAATCAAGACAGTATGAGACTGGCATGAGGACAGATATATAGATCAGTGGAATATCACTGAGAGTTTGGAATTAAACCCTCAAATTTATGGCCGGATGATTTTTGGCAAACATGCCAGGCAACTCAATGGAGAAGGAAAAGAATAATTTCTTCAGCAAATGATAGGGATGACTGGAGAGCCGCATGCAAAAAAGTGATTTGGATACCTACCTCACACCTAATATAAAATGAGTCAAAGACCTAAATATAATAGCTGAACGTTTAAATCTCTTAGAAGAAAACAGGCATAAATTTTTGTGACCTTGATTAGGCAATGATTTGTTAGGTATACCACTAAAAGCATAAAAAAATAAGCAGATAAATCAGACATCATCAAAATTTAGCACTTATGCTTCAAGGGACATCATCAAGAAACTGAAAAGACAACCCACACAACAGGAGAAAAATTTTGCAGATCATAGATCCAATTAAGTTTAGCCTTCAGAATATATAAATAACTTACAAACTCATCAGCAAAACAACAAACCAGTTTTTTAATGGGTGATAAACATTGTGTACAAGTTTTCTATTTGAACATCTGCTTTCATTTCTCCTGGGTATGTACCTAAGGAATTAGATAGACATTTCTCCAAAGATAATGCGAAAATGACCATGAAATGCATGAAAAGATATTCAACATTGTTTGTCCTTAAGAAAATGCAAATCAAAACCACAATGAGATGCCACAGTGAGGATTTAACTTTAACAATAAGAGTGTAGACTGAGAGGAGTAGATGGATGACAAGGCTAGAGACAATAGTGACATAAGAGTCCAAAGTAAGAGTGTCCCAAGGAGATGGGCATGTCCAATAATGCCAAATACCAGATAGAGCGTGGAAGTGAGGTAAGGGCCAACAAGGTACCACTGGATTCAATAGCTGGGAATCTTTACCTTTCCAGGACACTTTTATCAGAGATGCAGGGACAAAACCTGATTTCAATTGACAGAACTGAATAGGAGGAGAGAAAGAGACAGTAAAGACAATTATAGAGTTCTTTCTGGATTATGGCACTTTGTGAGGTCAGACTTCAGTTTTCAAGAGATAATTTATTGATTGCAGGTCTACAGAGACCCAGGGAAGTAGTTGGGGGGGTTGGGGGGGGGAAGGCAGTTACTTTACAAGCTAGTGCTATAAGACCTATGATTTGTACACAAAATCAGGTTTTAACTCCACTCTATTTTTTCTTTGCCAGCATTTCTAACCCTAGATCTCAAAGCAAAACAGGGCTGCCTTTTTTCACTCACATATACCTTACAAACTTGTGTATTTTATACGTTTTTTCACTTGATGCTCAATGCACTTTGACTTCACCTATATAAAAATATTGAGAGAGGGAAGTTGCCATAACTATGTGATTTTTCCTTACTCTGCATTCACCTAGGGAAAGTTCTAAAAGAGTTGCTGTGATTTTTCCCCCCTTTTGGTAAATCCTTAGAACAAAGTAGTTGATACTGCTGGAAAAAATGAATAGCTTATCCTAAAGTGTGGCTTAGAAAGTGGAAGTAAAATCAATAGTATTTTTTTTCTCTTTCCACACTACCAAACCAGCCTCTGATTTAAGGTAGTGTAAGTAGTGTAAGGGATATAACTGAAGCAGAGAAAAGACATTGACAGAACTTCTAACTCTAGAGTATCTAGGATCCAAGGTTTGCCTAACTTGTTTATCCCTTTCTAGTAGTAATTCTTCACTACCATACAAGTTCTACAATTAGCAAAAATAATAGGATATTAAAAAATGAAATAGAAAGATTATAGCAATTCTCTCTCCCCTGACACCCACCTAGCAACTCTATCCCAGTTGAAAAAGGCAAGTAGCTCATCAATCTAAAACTAATCAGAATTCACAAAGCAATTGGCTAGCAATTATATCTAGGTCTCTGTCAGGGCCACAAAAAGGCCAAGTCCTGGATGTTTTGCAGAGGATGCTGAGCCTAAGTAGTGTAAGCAGACTACTGTTACATAATTGTGCTTGCTGGGATGCCTGGATGGCTCAGTTAGATAAGTATCCAACTCCATCTCAGGGTGCATCGGGCTCTGTGTTGACATCTCAGAACCTGGAGCTTTCTTCAGATTCTGTGTATCCTCTCTCTGTCCCTCCCCTGCTCTCTCTCTCTCTCTCTCTCTCTCTCTCTCAAATAAATTTAAAAGTTTTTGTTTAGGAGTTCTGAGTTACCTTTGCTTTCTTTCAGTTTTTTTACATTATACTTCTAAATAGAGAACAAATATGTTGCAAGTATCTAGAGCATCTTTCCTTGAAGAGAAGCAGGAAAGAGAAGATGTGTCATGATGGGACTGTTCACTACTAGAGAGAAAATTGATTACTGTGTTAGTTTATAAATCTGTAAGGAAGCTGATTTCTCTTTTGTGAGTTGTCTTAAAAGATATAAGGCTCTTTATTCATAACCTAGGTTTATCTGAAAGGTTTCTACAACTCTACAATATTACTACTACTTCTACAACTACTACTACTCTTTGGAACCATTCAGTAGGACAGCACTCAATGGGGGGAGTGCAGCCCTCAGCCCGAGAAGAGCTGGAGGAACAGACCCTCCCACCCCAGCACTGAACCCATCAATGCCCCTGCATCAGCTTTATTTCAGGTTACTTGGGCTGCTTAGAGGAACTGCCTCCTTTTGACACTCTTCCCAATTCTGTT